TACATATTGGAGGGCCAATAGTAAGAACACTATCCACCCCTAAAAATCAGACTTTATTTAGATGTTGGTTTTTAGGCTAAACCTTGTCGGTCCATCATAGTCTTGATTTAGTCCAGAAATAATTGTCGAAAATTGGACTGTGTTTGGTCGACCTGATTTTGTCTCACTTCAGTCCAATAGAAGTTAAAACTGGGCTTTGAATATTACGGCCTTTCACCTTTCACTTTTGAGCTAATTTAGACCTTGTTTGGACGTAAATCATGTTGTCTTTTAAATGTCTTTTCAACCAAAATTTATTTGATGAGCAATGTAGGAGAGGAACTCTTATTTATGGATGTCATTATATGACCTATATTTATGGATGTCATTATATGACGTTCAAAAACTTGAATGATGCTGGTCAAATTGGGACTACAGCTTTCTGGAAAAGAACTTAAAAAGAAAAGTTAAATGTAGTGAATTCCTGAAACTTTCCATTATAAAAAATGGACCTTTGTATGTCAAACAGAGTACATCCATTTTTTTATTTTTTTTTAAATTAAATTGTAAGAAGTGGACATTTCCTATATATCCCCTCCTTTAGCATAGGGACGTCAGGACGTCCCTATGCTAAAGGAGGAAGTTAACAATTTATGGTTTTCAAATACTATAAAAAAGAGTTGGCGTACGTCTAAACATTCCCAGAAATCTTTATAGAGTTCATGTTGTCAGGCAGAGGTTTACCTTGTTTTTTGAATTAACTCCAGAAGGAATTACTGCTAATTGTTGTTATTGTGCTTTTGCCCCCAGCATAGAAAACTCTTCATGCCCTTTTAGTGTTTTTATTTTTTATCAATTTAATTAAGTTTGTTGTATTGTAGGTCCCGGTGTAACGCCCGCCTTCTGGTATAACAGCTTTGCAAACATTGCTTTCTTGCTTTGTGGTGTTTCTGGTGTAAACTGGTTCTACACAGAGAGCATGTTTGATTAAATGCTACACAGGCTCAATGCTAGACTGAAAGCTGGCAGCAAACTTTTTCCATTTCCATCCTTTAAATTCTGTATCATTTTAAGCACATGATACAGATAAGCAAAAATGGGATCTTGATTTCTATATTTTTTTAATAAATTAACTGCTAATAAAGAAGACAGGCTGCATTAGTATAATATCATTCTTTGTAGGTGAAACTTTTTGGTTAATTTAGATGCTAAGTTTGAACTTGTGTGTTTAAAATAGACGTGTTTGCTAGTTGTTGGAATTGGGAAGATGTTACAATGCAAGTCCACCTTAAAGTCAGAGAGGAACAGCAAGAGCAACAGGGTAAAATTCCCCCCTTCATGGCCCCGAACAGGCTCACATAAGCTTACACCATAATTACCTTTTTGAAGAGTTTCAGTCTGGCTTTCTGCAAAAATGGTCTAGAAATAAGTAAAAATGTCTTAAATCAAGCGTATTTACCATTCATTTTAGTAGGTAAATTGGATGATTTGCCAATGGAATTTTTACTCTTAAAATAAGATTATTAGATAATATGCACTTGAAATAAGACAATGTGGTTGCTATTTCTTATTTTAAATGTAAGTTGTCTTGTTCCATTGGCAAAGTATCTCACTTACCTCCTCAATTCAAGAACAAATGCACTTAGTTTAAGAAAAAATGACTTACCGGTATTTAGATTTCCATTTTTTGCAGTGTAGCACTGAGACAGCTTTGGTAAAAGTCACTAATGATTTTCTCATGACCTTAGATAATGGAGTTGTGTCTGTACTTGTCCTGTTCGATCGCAGTGCTGCATTTGACACAGTTGGTCATACGGATCTTTCAGAAAGACGTGAATATTTTGTAGGAATTATAGCTAATGTGGAGAATTTTCGCTATTTCCTTAAGACCCGCCCTCTCCACAGCATGAACAAGCCCATTCCGCCTCATGCACGCTGTTCAAAAGTTACTGTTCTCATAGCTCATACAAGCTTACTGTGCCCGAACATCTTCTCTAACTCAATCACTATATAGAGCGGGTACTATATAGTGGACTTTATAGTAGGGTGACCATATTTTCATTTTGAAAAACCAGGACACCTTGGAGTGGGGGGGCGGCGGCGGGGGATCTCTGTTCCCATGCATAGGCCTAGGTAATCCTACAATAACATGATATTAACAGTTGATTTATTAAAAAATGCTTTTCAGTAAAAGTCAACAGCAATAACTCCAATAACAAATGATAATTTTATTCAAAATGTATTTATTAAAAATGCTTAACAATTCCTGTAATGAATGAATAGCACAATGAAAGAAATAATGTCTCATCTAAACATCCCTCACTTAACAATAAAAGTTAACAATAACTCTCAACTCCCAATAACAGATGATACTCAGCCTCAGCAATGAACGAAATAATGTCTGTTCTGTAGGCTATTGGTAAAAATAAATAAATGAGCTAATTAACAAAAAATACCTCTTTTGTAGCAAAAATAACTCAAAATGTACCAAAAACGAACAAACATATCAATAGAATATCTTGACTTTCGGAGTCCAGGTGGCTTTTCAGATCCCTTGCACCTCCATTGGACACCGAGACATATGTGCCTGCTTTGCACACTGTGCACAAGGCCTCACATTTGTCACGATCCGGTCTGAAAGCGGGGAAACTCTTTTGTAAATCGTTGGTAAACATACATTTGCGGCTTTGCATGTTGTTGGCGTACTGACAGCCACGCTATCTATATTCTGATTAAGAACAGGGCTGCCTGCACTGGGGCGGCTCAGGGGTGACGTCACACGCAGCGTCGTGCGCAGTGCCCTAGCGTCTGTAAATTTAATGGTCCAATGAAGGTAATTTAAAAAAACAGGACATTTCCTCACTTTCTAAAAAAAACCCGGGACGCCCAGGACACGATGTGAAATACAAACATGTCCTGGGAAATACGGACGTTTGGTCACCCTACTTTATAGAGAACTCTTTTAACTGACCGTTCGGACAGATGATGACTGCTTTTTGCTCCGTTGGTCATGTAACTCCTCCTTCACTGCTTGGTGCCTGTGCCATCTTTGTTATTAGTTCCCACTGTCAATTAGCAACTGCCTATGGCGACAGCGGGCCGTTGTGAAAGCAAATCCCATAGTGCTTTGTCGAGGAGAGCTCTCTGCGCCAAGCATTCTGGGATATATCTGGGATATTCTTTTCTTCTCATACACTTTTTAGACACTTTTTCTCTTATGACCTTCGGCCATTTTCAAAGAACCGCGGTGAGAAAGGTGAGCTTCCAAAGCTGTCTGAAACCGGAGCTCACCACAGATGTGCATGTGCACAAAAAGATAGCTAACAGAACGAGCACACAGGAAGGCCTTACGTAAACACATCACCAGAATGATTGACAATTAGGAGGACCACTCATTAAGATGAACTACACGGAAATAAAAGATCCTCCTCTATACCTTTAAAGGAACAGCACTGGGCTGGTTTAAACCTTATTTATCTGACAGATTTCAGTTTGTTCACGTCAACGATAAATATTCCTCACACTCCAGGGTTACCTGTGGAGCACCATAGGTATCAGTGCTAGGACTGATTCTCTTTACTTTAAATATATGCTCCTAATTGGTAGAATTATTAGACAACCTCAGCAGATGGACACTCACACTGAACCTGGTTCTGCAGGAGGTTGCTTCTTCCACTGTCGCTACAAGCATGTTTGGTGTGAGAGATTGCTGTCTAGTTAATGAGTGGATGCAATCAGCTGTTTTATCTTAGACAGAAAATCTGACTGTGTGGTCTGATTGAACTCTCTCTGTAAAGTACCTTTAGCTGACATGTGTTTTGAATCAGAGCTATATAAATAATCTGAAAAGTATTAAATTGAACTGAGAACAGCAGAAAAACAAAACAAAACAACAACCCTTCTATCAGAATAAGAGGCAGAGAAATTAACTCCTTGGCAGAAAATAAAAACTATAATTCCAGTCACATGGTTTAAGCCTTTGGATGTTACAGTGTTTTTCCACTGAAACTGATGTTGTTGTGAGGGATACAGTAATGAAGCTGGTAGTTCCACTAACTAGTTTACATCAAGTCATCATGGGGTTGAATGTCACATGATTTTCCCCCTTAATTTAGTTAATTATGCTAGTCTTTTTCCATGGCAGGCTCCCCGAACAACCAATTTGGCTGATTTATAGGAAAACCCTGAGGTGCTTAAGGTAAGATGCATTAAAAAAATTATAGAACAAAACAGACATAAAGACGTACAATGTGCACCGTAACTATACATATTTTGCAGGCATTAGATGATAGAGCATTTTAGGCAGGATGATGTCAACATAAAATAATTTTTAGTGGGGATAAATCATCAAGTAGTGGAGAAATACCCAGGAGCTTTATATATGTTAACCAGCTTTAGAGTCTGAGCAGACAGTGATCCGCAATGCTTAGAATGTCCAATTATGGTTTAATCTTGCCGTTAATTTGAGTTGAAATTAGCAATTGTTCTATTTATGTGTTTTGGTCCTAAACTTGTTTCCTTAATGAACAGATCTCTAACAAAGTAGACGGATGGATGTGAATGAAAGCATTTGTTGCTGTGTTCATTAAAAAAAATAAACTGTGCAGCAGATTCTTGTTTCCAAAATAAATGCACTTGTAGATTAAATCTACCCAGAGAATAAATTGTTTTTTTGAGTCTATGATGATTCTCTGATTTTTTTATAAGAATTACAAATGCGTTTCTGAAAAACTAATGCTTTAGGCAAAAATTAAAGTACAGTTACTTAGTTTTATCATTATCTCCTCTTTTATCACCTCTTTTTTTCATCTTTTCTCTTTTTTTCCTTTCCTGTTCTACTTACATGGCAGTGTCCATATAATTTGTAATACTCCCTCCATGAATTATAATAAATCAATTTATATGAATAAATCAAGAGGAACACTATGGCCATAGCCGTACTGCTCCACTTGTGAAAGTAAAATCTGGGCAAATATTCTTATTGTCACATTGCCAGACAGGACACTGTTAAAAAATAAATAAATAAAGTACAGTTACTGCTAATTATTTGTTTGTATAATTATAGTTCTCATTAATTAAACACTGCCAGAGCAACGTGCATGCTAAGAATGTTTTTTCCGACCTTTTTCCCAACACTACATTCCCTACATATCCCCGTGGTGCTGATGTTGCTCTCTGTGCGCCTTCTACCACTCCTCCTCATTCACACCTCTCCTTCCTCTCTTGGGTCCTCTGCGCATCGCTTGGTGTGAGCTCCGTGTTTACGCACAGGACTGAAGGACCCCTCCCTCCCTGTCTCTCTCCCTTCCTCACCGAGATGCCATCCGACCTGCAGGTGAGGCGCTCAGCAGCGCTTTCTCTGTCCCTCCTTCCTGCAGAGCGGATCATCAGGGCGGCTGGAAGCGACGCGCTTCGCTCCGCAGAGTGAAGTTTCCTCCAGGATTGTTGGACTGAGGAACGACTGAGCGCCTGGAAAGTAACGCGATCTGGAGTCCTGGGAGAGGCAACAGTGTGGATGAGGTTTGTTTTTTTTGTCATGCGTGTGGTTTAGGCTCATCGCAAAACAGTTACATGGTGTTCCACTTTGTGGAATTTGGCAAAAAATGGTTACTTTATATATTCAGAAATATAGGATCAAAGGGAATTAATCTAAGCCAAATGATTGTACATTATTTATTAGATCAGTATAACCTTGAAGCTCAGAACTTTTCTTTTTTAAATCACTGCAACTAATATAATAAAATGTAAAAGAAGATCAGAAATGCTTAAAAAAACGATGCTGTGTCGAAATAACTAGTTTTTAATATTTTTTTATGCTATTAAAACTGGAGATTTTATACTATGTTGCAAAATGTAAAGTTTTGGATGAAGCATGTCAAGAATAGGAACTGATCTACTGATTAAGGGTGTTTTAAGGGGTTACACTATAAAAATCATTTTGGTGTTTATTAAATATTAGCCATTTAACTTGTTAAAGCAGTTCAATATTGGTTATTTTCAGCCAATGGTTACTACAGTATTTTTGCAGTAATGAATCGTACTTGAAGATTTTAAACACCTGTTGGCTGTTAAGCCCCACTCACACCTTGACGATTTAGACCAGTGTATGCCTAAATGTATGTAGGAAAAATCTGGCAAAAACGCTTGCATACGTAAGTTATGGGTCAGTTTTGTATAAGTTATGAGCACACTAAACCATGCTGGAACATGTTGACATATAGCAAGTATGCCAGCATATGCTCATATGTGGGCCATAGGTCACAGGTAATTTATCTGATCATTGACAAACGTTTAGTATCAGTTACTCATAAGTTATCCCGTCTAGCTTATCCAAAAAACTTGTGAGTAACTTGTGCATAACTGATGTGTAATTTATCAAGAACTTATTTCCAACGCATATCAGCATATTTGTTCCAGATGAACGTGTTTCTTACAGCTATTGCATAATGGTATATTGGTAGCATTTTGGTATAAAAGGGGATTCACAGGAGTAAACAGTTCTCCTGCAGACTTCATCCCCATCATAGGGTGAGCAAGAGGGTGACTGTGATGGATCCTCCCTGCACCCACCGCCACAACCAGCAAACTTCCTAGCAGACATGACGCCGAGTCTGGTGCGATTGCAAACCTTCTTTCTTTCTTTTTATTTATTTATTCTTTTTTTTGTTTTTTGGTGGGCGGTAAACAGCCGCTAGGTTAGTACCACAATCAAGGAAATCTTTTTATGCAGCCTGGGCCCCTCCGGGCGCATTGCTGCCCCCTTCAGGACACTAACTTGTGAAAATTCATGGACATTACGCTGCTATGCATTATGCATAAGTTAGGCTGTTGTTGGACATAAGTTCTGGACTCATTATGAATACTATATACACGCCCAACATTGAAAAAATACATAAAAAGTTCAGCGTGTTCTAGCATTTTAGAAGATAGTCGCTCCTGTATGCTTATTATGATTGCCAAATGTATTTGTTTATAGGCACTGGGTTATGTCTTATAAATTATATGATATCATCTTAGCCAAAGTAAGAAATCCACCATAAGAGATGACAAAATGTCTAAGCAAGACCTTACGTTTGTATCCAACTTTACCTGCAGCACTAACGCTGGGGTGCCGCACATATCTCTGTGATTGGTGTGCACATGGGGGAGTACCCCACATAACCAGTGGAAAGAGGAAATGGCTCAGACTGCACCAGTTTGGTTTTTGCAAAGTTTTAGGCTCATAAAATTAAAGGCATGAAGAAGAACCCAGTTTTTCACCTTTTTGTAAGGATATAAAACTGCAATTCATTAACTCTGAGTGTTTCATGGCAAGTTACAAAACTTCGGATGTGCACTGCCATGCACTACTTCATTGTGTTATCCCAAAGCATGGTGGCAGGATGGCACAAATGCATCATTGTTGCAGCCCAACTATGTGTTGCATTTATGTTTTTAAATTTAGTTGGAATGGAAATATTTTTTAGAAGTTATACAAGTACTAGTCAGAAATTCAAATATTTTCTTTTAGTCAAATCTTTATAATCTATTAAATTCATAAGACAAATTTATTTGGTCAAGATCTGAGTTTGTCTCATATTTGTGAATATAAATATATAAAACACAAACACATTTAGATTGAGATATCATCATTATGCGATTTAAGTTATTACCTTGAACTTTAACATACTTTTCTAATGGCTCTACCACATAATTCAGTGCAATGATTGATTTTGTTGGATTTTAACATAAAACATTAAAATAATTCAAGTCATTAATGTGTAGAATTATTTATCCAAAATTTATTTAAGCTGCAATTCATACCCATGTATTAATGTACTGTATGTTTACATACTAAGAAACTTAGTTATTCTAGGGGATTTAACATATCATGTTCAATGAAGGTAATTTTGGAGGTATAAGGCTGTTATTACTGGCTTTGCAACTTAATTGTTGAGGAATATTACCTTTTTTACCCTCTGGGGTTCTGGTTAATAATTTCAAAAGATACATGCATTCAAATTTCAAATATGTAAGGAAAATGAAATGCTAGTGAAAATGAAATGCAAAAATATACGGGAAAAATGTTAAAAGGATAATGTAAGGGTATCATGGATGTATAGGTGGAAAATTGGAGGGATGATTCAAACATGGATCCGGTTACACTTGTCCCAGCAGTCGCAACCAGTTGTCATGTGTTGCTGAGGCCAGCCACTATCAGAAATGTGGATTACAGTGTATTTTTAGAACTGCTCACAAAAGCCTGTTGTGTTATTGTTATATTTTGCTTACTAATTAAGACATATTTAGACACAATGTTTTAGAAAAAAAAATTTTTAATGGATGATAAGGAATTATACAGAGTAATGGGTAGAAAACAATCCCTCTGATTCATCTTTTTTCTTTTCTCGTTTCCATTTCTCAGGTTTGCAGCTTGTTATCTGAGACCTCTAAACCTGACATGTGTGCACAGAGTGAGATGGTAACCTGAGTCTCGTCCCTGGGGTATCCAGTATGCATGCTGTTGCGTCACAGCTTTTAGACAAGACCAAAGTTGGAGCCAGCTGTTGCAACCCGGCTGTTGCAGCCATGTTGCTCATGCTGTGTATTGGCTTCATTCCCACAGTGGCCCCTTGCCCAATACATTGCCTTTGTGCCAGTGATATAATTTCCTGCAGTGGAAGCAACCTGTCTGCTTTACCCTCTGATCTTCCTAGCTATGCCACAAGGCTGGACGTTAGCCACAACATGCTGAGAGCTGTGTCAGTAGACTGGGTCTCTCAACCATTTCACCGGCTCACCACGCTGGTTCTCAGCTGGAACTCTATAAGCCAAATCGAGGTGTCTGCCTTCACTGCAACACCACATCTCCTCTACTTGGATCTTTCAGCTAACCAACTGAGAGTCCTGAGCTCATCCATCTTCAGCGGGCTGTCAGAACTCAAAGAGCTGCTACTGATTGGAAACCAGCTAACCCAAATAAAGCCAGAAGCCTTTAGTGGTGTCATTGCCCTGCAGAGAATCTACCTTTCTGCAAACAGACTAACTACCTTTCCCCTGGAACTTTTTGAAGACCCAAAAGGACCGCAAAATCTGACCTTCCTGGACTTGTCATACAACAAATTGTCCAAGTTACCCGTTCAGAGCCTGTTATCTGTCAGCCGCCATGCAGGAATATATTTACAGGAAAATCCTCTCCTCTGTGACTGTGCTTTGATTGCCTTGCTTGAATACTGGCTGTGGAAACAGTATCACCCTTTAGTGGATTTTCAAGACGAATATGCATGTAGAGGTACCGCAGTTCGAGAGGTTAATTGTACATATCAGGGTTTGTCAGAAATACCCGTTAAGGCACAAAGCTATCAAGTACAGCCTGGTGATTGGCTAAGAGTACCCTGTCTTGCGTCAGATTTTCCTGTTCAGGATGGTTTGGTAGTCTTTTGGGTTACCCCAAGTACAATACTGAATTCATCTGTAAGTGACCCGGTTGCTCACCTGTCAGTTCTAGCCAATGGCACACTTGAATTCAAGGGGGCGTTAGTGGAAGACTCTGGCATATATGAGTGCGTGGTGGCAAGAGGGAGCTACTATGAAGCGGGTGAATCTCTTGAGGTTAGAGTGATGGTCGGAAACTCAAGCATCTCCTCCACCACAGGCTTGGCTCGTCGCAGCAGCGGAGAACATTTCAACACAGCCTTTACCACCCTCGCTTCATGTGTTATAAGCATCATACTGGTACTGCTGTACCTCTACCTCACTCCCTGTCAGTGTCGAGAAAGTAGAGGCGGTGGCTCCGGCTGTGGTGCTCGGGCTATCATTCTCTGTTCAGACCCAAGGGAGGTGGAGTCGGGACAAAGGCGTGCTAACGGAAAGAGGGTCGCATTCTTAGAACCTCAGGCTGAAGACTCAGATATTAGTGTCCCAAAAACACCAGTGATGACATTGGACCATGTTTCCACTGAGGGAATTCTCAAAAATGGAAGTAGGACAGTGGGACACACCCTCGCAGACCCTGCTCACGTGGCATAGTAAAGGAAAATAACATTATGCAAAGATCTGTCCCTTTACAGTCTTATTTGTAAGCTTTTTTTCATTGTGGAAAAAAATCTATTTGATGTAAAGTATTGTTCTAGTGATCCATTCTGGGTAGGAGAATCTTGTCTGAAACGCAGTCCTTTAATAGAGTCGAATGTAAATTATGTCTCATCTCTGTGTGGTATGTGTTTTATATTCAGAGTTCATATGGAAATTTCCCTGTTATCTCAGAGATTCATCCCTGCATGGATCACAGAGATCATAGAAACGTAGGAGGGCTCTTTGAATTGGGCCAAAAGGGATATTTTCACACCTGACTGTTGAGCTGAGTTGGAGTACTCTGTTATTCGTCTACAGTGTCCAGCATATGTTGTAGATAAAATCAGTTTGTCTGTTTTTCTTAACAAGTCATCTGATGGAACAAAGCAAAACATATATTCCTGATTATCAAATTTTTATATGACAATGACAACCTGTCGTTTTGACTTAATCAATGTATAAGACATTTTTGCACATTTTTCAAATTTCAGTTTCATTTAATGAGGGAAGATACTATCAAACTCAGCCAGTCTACAAACCTGTGGGGAGTACAGATCCCATTTTGAATAAAAATGTATTAAGCTATTTCTTTAGAATTAATGTCCTAAAACAATCAGAGCTCAGAATAAAGAATTAAATTCAAATCTGTTCTCTAATGTGTTAAATACATTAGGGTCATTATGTTATGTAGGTATGAATTACTTTTAAAATAAAATAAATGATATAAAGACTAGGAAACCCCTTTATGTGTGTTGAGGCCATCATACTCGGTTATCTGAAGCATTTAAGGGTGGCTAAAAAAGCAAAACTGCTATGGAACTGTTTTTTTAAAGCTCAGGATATATGAGATAATTTAACTCAATAGGAATTTCACTTTGGCTCAGAATAACACATAAAGCATTACATTTTTTATTTTCCATTTTAATGAGCCAATGACTCTTACATGACAAGTTCACTGTTAAAAAATGTGGAGTTTGACATTTTTAAAAGTGATGTGGGACTGTGATACCTGCATTGCAGAGAAACATGAGAGACAGTAAAACTTAGGAGGGAAGCTTTTTTTTTAGTGTGCATTTGTTCTTAAATAGTGCCTTTTTAAAGAAACTCTATTATAGTTTCGAATCAATGCGAGAGAGACCAATTTAAGACAGATATGGTTCTGCAGATATGGGTTGTGTCTAGTCAATATCATTACCACACTGTATTTAAGCTCTGTGTTAACTTAGGTCCATTTTGTAGGGCTAGTCATCCAGCCTGTGTAAAATCACAATACGGACTCACTCCCAACTCATTAATGCTAATGCTTAGGCAAGCCGTCGTGTCAGATAATGATGCAACGGGGGGTACCCTTCTCGTCATTTTTTGACACGTTAGTGGCATGACGGGTTGTGGCATTAATTGCAAAGTAAAAAGCAGCACTAACCCCTTTCTTACTCTAACAACTAAACCTTAATGAACACTAGTATACTGTACACGTCACAATGCACTCCTAAATTTACCAGCAATAACTTTGTAGGCTAAAACATTTTTAAAAATTTGTCACAGCTCATGTGCGTGTCATTTGATAAAATGTCCGCAATGTGTCATTTACCCTGGGTGTCAATATATGATGAGAGAGGGGTACCCCCTTTGTGTCAGTGTAATGTGCAGGGGGCTTTTACCAAGTGATGGTAGTTAGATTCCTTATAGTACCCTGGTGCACTTCTTGGCAATGATGCAGGGATGTAGAGTACTGATCTCTTGTTTAGTTCAGGTTCCTGATCAAGGTATTTTAAAAGACTGATATCAGAAATCCTAATTCAACTCAACTTATGCTATTTATTGTGTATTGCCTGGGATGTCACCAGGTGCCCAATGTTTATTCTGGGTTGTCTGCATTATTTTGCTGGTCCAACTAGTGGTTTATTTCAAACAAATTTTATTTTCCAGCAGCTCCAGATATAAATGAATTCAATTCGGTTCAAAAATACTTTATTAATCTTAAAGGGAAATGAATGGTTGCATAAAGAACAGCTGAAATAGCCATTCAATACAAAATCAATTAACTGAAATATGTTAAGAGCCAAATTAAAAGATTATCGAAAAGTGAACACGCTGAACATACTGTTTAGCAATAAACAAAAAGCACCAGAAGTCGAATGTAATTATATTTTTAGTGAAGAGATGCTGTCATGCTCATTGCTCTGTTGCAGTTTGCTCATTAGCCCTTTGCTTTTCTTGGACTTGTCTGTTTTTGTCTGTCTTCCCATATCACACCTTATGTAAACACCAGCATGTTGTGCTGCTACAAAAATTGTCTCTTTGAAACTGCTAATCCATTTGAAGTTATGTGAATTAAATGAACCATCATAGCCAAGGCTTTGCCTTGTTGATTTATTTCTGATTAAATGTCAATCCCTTTATTGTCCCACAATTGGGAAATTCACTCTCTGTATTTTGACCCATTCCCTTGGGGAGCAGTTGGCTGCCATTGTTAACCCAGGGGTTAAGGGTTTTGCTCAGGAACCCAGAAGGCTGTGGGGATCAAACCGGTTACAACCTTCTAACAGCACAAGCGCACTGCTCTAACCCACTAGGCCAACACTCCCCATTAGAGCCATTGAATGAAACCTCTCAGTCTGACTGTTCACACCTATTCGAGGTGTTGATTGTGGGTTTGGCTTTTTCATGTCTCTTTTCAAATTTTTTGGTCCACCAGTGTCCATTATTATTAGTTTAGTAACTGAGTTTATTATAATGCAACAGCGAGATTTATCGCATTTTCTGGGCTATTGATCGCACCTCAATATAAGCCAGGCCCGCAAAACCCCCCTAAAACTTGAAACACATTATAACACATTATATTTTAGTACCTTCAGTACCTTTAGGAAAGGAAAACCTCATTGAGGTATTTTTAACAAAATAAAATCGAATCGCTTATTCGCAGAACGGATGGTGCTTCCGGGACGGATCATGTAGTGACAGCTTCTACTGAAAGATGGGGCTTTGACAGCTCTTTATTTCAGCTCTGCAGGAGTCGAGCCCAGTCTCCTCATTAGTTCGGCAGCTTTAATGGGGCAAATAAATGTCAAAATGTGTGAATTTGTGACATTTGTTCGCCGTCGTGCCTACTGCTTGCATGTTCTTTTGCTAAATGAAAATTAGCCCCAAAGCCTAACATCTTAAAAGCTGCATGGTTCAAAGCGACGGAAAAAAGTAGCAGCTTTTTGACAGGAAAATACGGTAAATTAAGGTTTGGACAAGTGCATTTACATAATCTATCAGATAAGACCCATGTGGTCACATTGTTCTAATGCAGGGGTCTTCAATGTTTTCCAGGCAAAGAACCCCCAAACTGATGGCGAGATGGAGCGGGGGTCGCCTAATTATATATATTGTATGAAATTGTGTTATATCAAACTGGTCCTATTGTCACTCTATTAGATATGGAGTACCTCGTCCTGGGATCATTACAGTATTTCTGATTCTGATTCCTGGTTGTGGAACAGGTGTTGTGAATGAAACGGTGTCCAGCTTGAAAGAGCTCCTGTGTGTCGCTGAACGTGAGCATTGATGACTGAAAGACATCTTCTGCCTCCATTTATCTATTTACTACAGTGTGTTGAATTCATGTTAATGTGGATTTAAAGAGATTTCAACTAGTGGAAAAAATTGCAGGGGGGATTATAAAACAAGTCTAATCAACCTAAACTTTCACGACCCCCATGCAATACCCATGCAGTGGACCCCCTAGGGGTCGCGGACCCCCTGTTGAAGACCTCTGTTCTATTGACATCATGTGAGAAATTGGACACCTTTAGACTGTAACCAGTATTTATAGAAGTAATGTGTTCATGATTCAATGCTCAGTGTTCATTCCCAGCCTCAGCGCTGATCTCTGTAACCATTCCTTTTCCTAACAGAATAAAAACACTTTACATTCAGTTCTGTCATAGAACCTTCCCTGTAGATAAAGTTGTTGATGCTGTGGATCGCTTCTATGGTAGTAGAACTGGAACAACACGCATGGGCAACTGACCAGAGATTGGAAGTCAGGTTGATTATTGACAAATATCACTTAACATTTACTATGTATTTCTAAGGATATTCCTAGACTGCAGATTCTAAAACCTGACCATAAATCATGAAGTGTAAACTGAAGTTTAGGTTGTTTTCTTCAAATGGTCATCAAAGTTCAAACTTCTTTTTCAATTACAGTAGAAAACCAAACATTTGTCAATTTGATGTTTATACATCCTGAAAAAGTGGACTCCCTCCTTCCTGCCCAGTTTTGAACAGATTCCCCAAAGATCGACCCTTCTCCTGATACGACAGAACAAGTGTGACAATGAAGTTTAAGTCAGTCCAGATTAGAATCAAAGAAATCAAAGAGATGTTTGCTTGTATGCCCTAGAGCTCACTGTGACCCACATTTTTTCTGTCTTTCCTTTGTCTGATCTCTGAACATGCAGTGGGATTATTTGCAGCAGGTCTCTGGTGTTTCCTCCGCCACACCATACCAAGCTACCACTCTCTAAACATTGATTTCTTTTCCATTTTATGATTAACGGGAAAGTAGCAAAGGCGACATCTTGTCAAGATAAATTACACCAAAATAAAATGTCTCGGCACTGGAGGTGAGTTGTGTGCTTTATCCCCTCATGTTTGGTGCCTTTGGCCTCCTGTGTTTTGGTATTAGAGGGATATAAATCAAAAGGGGCAGTTTGGGTGAAAAAATGGAAAGTGTTACATCAGAAGGATTTAATGACAAAAAACAACCTTTTAGTTAACAAATCGCCTTTTCAGAAATCCTCTTACAAGCTTTTCCTTAGCCTACTACAAAATCTGAGGCTCTCCAAAGTCTACACAGTCCTGTTAATGTTAGTCGACTATGCTGTTAAAATATAGAAATAAATTTTAACAATATTCCACAAATATTACAACATTTATCCCCTACATCATAGACATGTGCAGTAGTTTCATCATCTGCAAAGCTTAAAAAAACAATCTTTTGGTCAGGCAGTTGGTTATCACTGTGTATTCCTTAATAGCTCTCCAAATGCATCTGATTGTGAGGACATCTCTGGATCGTAATAACTCCACAGCCTTTCCAAAAATTGAAATGTCTACATTTTATTTTATTTGCATAAATGCTCAGACTCAGCGTGATAAGATGCTGGAAAACCTTTTGCTTCATCGACAACTACATGACTGAATGTCTTCAGCCCAATGTGGCTGGTGCTTGGAATTGTTCATAACTTAATTCACTGTGATAAAACCTATTTTACAAACAACCACAAGCATGATGCTGCCCACTCTGATATTTCACTGTATGATATTCAGCTGGTGGTGGGCTGTGTTGTATTTGTCTAAAACCTATAGTCAGATTTTGAGACCTGATGTTTTAAGTTTGGATTTTTTTTTATTTTATTTTTTTGCTGGATTTTTTTCTTTGAGGAAAATAATTATGTCTCCTACAGTAACATCAGTTAAAGGGCTTATTTCCTAATTCTAACTGCAACAACCCTGTCTTTGTATTGGTTTCTCAGCAGTCTTTCTGACCTGTTGAGATGTCATCTTTCCATTAGGTATATCCAGTTGCTGTGTTGTCCTTTTTTCAAGAAAAAACCTTTTTCAATTGAGAACAAAGTCCTACTATTGCTTCATTTCTGGTTAATCAGCTTCCATTACTTAATTTGATGTATGAATTCAAGGCGTAAAAATAAGTTTTCAATTTTAACATTTTTTTAACATTTAGTTTTTTTGGTAAATTGTATGGAGATACTCAGACTTTAGGTGGAAAATATGGATTCCTGTTAATGGTTAATGGTGATGTATGCTGTGTGTGGGTGTCTTTCAGTTCAGATGGAATTTTGCAAATACCATGCATTTGTTAAGGGAGCAGCTTTAAAGCAGGACAGATACCTCAGATATTCCTGTGTAGTTTGTAGCAGCATGCACAGTATCTTCTCACAGTGCTGCTGGTGTCATCCCTGAACAAAACCTGGTCATTCAAACAAAAAAAAAAATAAATAAAACGCTGCTTTTCAGCAGATGAAAATATGTTTTTATAGAAACAGTTTATGATTTTCTGCTTTCAGTTTGGTGGATAATGTTTCACGGATGAAATATAAAACTAGCCTATTTAAAGCAGCTCTGTTTGTATTTTTTAGATAGGAAATTGGTTTATTTATCCGAAAAGCTCACACAGAAAGAAAAGACAACTGGAAGAATTTATTGATACAATTACTTTAGTCTTTGGTGCTCAGACATCGGCAGGAAACATTGCGCTGAATTATAATTGACATGCATGAACAGGAGTAAAGAATACGGCTGTTCCTTAGAACCTGTCAAAATTTTTATCTGTATATCTACAATATATATATTTTTTTTAATTGGACACCAAACAGAAGTTTTGGAAAACTGTTTCAGATGTTGAAAATCTTTATCCCATTTGGGAAAAACACTGCAAAGAATGCCTGCCTTTCGAGCAGATGTGGGTACAGTACCCAAAAATTGTACTCAAGTAAGAGTAGCATTACTTCAAAAATTTTTTCTCAGGTAAAAGTAAATGTCATGAATATAAAATAACAAATGTATGCAGTAGAAACACGTTTACCAAATATGTTTTTTCCACATAAAACTTAGAAAACATAATCCTTAAAATGAGAACTGTAGGCTATATATTTTAGGACAGGGCAAAGACTTTCCACTGATAATATCTACTGTTTATTGTATATTTACTTGATCTTGGAATAGTTCAAATTACTCTTACAGGACAGAGTAGTCAGATATTTTATTCAAGTAGGAGTAGCAATACTTTACGAGAATATTACTCAAGTAAAGGTAAGAACTGCAGCACAGTAAAAGTACTACTAAAAGTACATGTTTTTTAAAAAGGTTAAGTAAATCTAAGTGAGTAAATGGAACTAGTTACTACCCACCTCTGTTTTTGATGGCCTTTTTATAACATTTTGGGATTTTACCATTTTTGTCATTCCTGTTAATGTAATCTCAAGCATTGCTAAGCCTTTACTAGAGAGAGCATCAAACTTATACCCAAGAAGACATGTTTTATTTACATAATGAGTTGGATTCAATTTGGTGCTGAAATAATATTCAGCATCTCTGTAAGCCCAGCTTTAGTTAGGTCTAGCCATTACTGTTCACACAAGACAGATGACAAGGAGCTTCTATTACAAACATCTAAGCATACAGGGGTAACCATCTCCTTTGAAGCATGTCTATGGTTCCTCATATTTCTTAAATTAAAGGTACGAAATTGGGAATTTGAACATATTATACATTTAATTTATATAAACAAACATTCATTATGTATTTACAGCATCCCCATTCAAACAAAGTCACTCTTATCTT